GTAAGTATAATCTTGCATTAATTGCCTCTCACTGTTGAAAGAAGGCTGCTAGGGCATGCAACCATATCCTATTTCACAGAGAAACAAACTTAGAGCTAACAAGCACATATTCACTTTAATTTCTGCCTATTAGGCGGTATATATACAAAATGTATTTTGGGTAGTTCAAGACAAAAGTAATCAATAACGCCTTGCACATTCGTATACAATTGTTGCGACGTTTATGCAAGCAAATATTTATTTATGATATTATTGGTAAAATCTTAACTGCTTGCATGTTTTCAATCATATTTCCATTTCCTTTACGATTGTCCATATGAATATATTAGCTCATTCTCCTTGTTCAACTCTTACCTTTAAGGAACATTGTATATCGAAAGTAACTACTGGCTTAGATGCCAAAACAGTAATCTAAACTAATTGCATATAACTAGGGGATCTGATTCCAGTCTTGGACACATCAAAGTTCTTATCAAGGTTCAGTATTCAGGGTTATGGCAAGCAATGACAAACTCGTTGTCAGTATACTTTGACCAAGTGAAATACTGAGCTGGGTGCCTTCAGTATGGTGTTTCACTGAAATAACACTCTAAATAGGCATCGCATTCTTACAATGGTAAGGAGGCAAATACACCAACATACCCTGCTTCCTGCACAAATACAATATCGGAGGCACGTCCTTACATGACCTTAGTTGTTAATAGGTAATTAAACTCCATAAAGCCAAACCAAGCAAAAATAAATAAATATGTGAGTAAACGTATTGATGATAATAATAATAATTCGAGGCTCTTATAAACCGCTTTATCAGAACCTATTTTATTTCGTGACTCGTACCTACAACCCTTCGGACACGAGCCAAGCGTCCTGCCGCTAGACTACCGAGCTCACAACATTCATAAACATATAAGAGAATGTTAATCATCAGATAAACGACACGGACAGTACAATGGAAAGAAAACCTATCACAGCTTGAACACAAAAGGCCAAAACAAGAATTCAGACTAGGAGAAAAATATCTAAAAACGTGTAAGCCACCCTGAATCCATTAAACATATCGGCGGTGAAATCAGAGGTTCTTAAATGATGAAAACACCAGGTGGTACTTGTCATGTTGCTTCTCGTCAAATACAAAAAAGTGTAAATGTCACCCACCATCTAAAAATAGCTTTAACAAGTACAGTATTGAATTGCTTAAACGTGGTAAAAGCTGAAGTATCATAGCACCGCATAACACAACATAAATCGTCTACTTACCTCGGTATTTACTTACAATATGACAAGTGGGACGTTTTCTACTTTTCGTGAAGTTTCCTTTTTTTGATAGTAACGTCCCTGCTATGTATTTACATATCGCAGTTGATTCGGTACCCAAAATCAGGCTAAGACGAAACCGGAGATTTTCTGCAGCGTAAGGTAAGGCTGCTTACGTTGAAAACCCTGTCTACACGTACGTGGTCCTTTTTGTAAATATGACAAACATACATAGGAAATATGAGGTATACTTGAAACAGATTGTGAATACAGTCATCATCATTAAAACCCAAAACAGCATCCCAACTCAAAGTTCACACCTATTTGGCGGCGAAACCAAGTTAACCTAGACACAATATTTGACACCCGTCTTGGCTAACCGCACAACTCTCTAAATTCAAATTCATATGTTGATCAGTAATGTAGGCACAAAGAACATAATTGAACACTATTTTATCACGCATCAATGTTTCTTTACAAATATCTAACTTCCAGGTACATGTATTTGTGTACCGTATTTTGATAAGTATGCCATACATACAGTATTAATAGATAAGTATGCCATACATACAGTATTAATAGATAAGTATGCCATACATACAGTATTAATAGATAAGTATGCCATACATACAGTATTAATAGATAAGTATGCCATACATACAGTATTAATAGATAAGTATGCCATACATACAGTATTAATAGATAAGTATGCCATACATACAGTATTAATAGATAAGTATGCCATACATACAGTATTAATAGATAAGTATGCCATACATACAGTATTAATAGATAAGTATGCCATACATACAGTATTAATAGATAAGTATGCCATACATACAGTATTAATAGATAAGTATGCCATACATACAGTATTAATAGATAAGTATGCCATACATACAGTATTAATAGATAAGTATGCCATACATACAGTATTAATAGATAAGTATGCCATACATACAGTATTAATAGATAAGTATGCCATACATACAGTATTAATAGATAAGTATGCCATACATACAGTATTAATAGATAAGTATGCCATACATACAGTATTAATAGATAAGTATGCCATACATACAGTATTAATAGATAAGTATGCCATACATACAGTATTAATAGATAAGTATGCCATACATACAGTATTAATAGATAAGTATGTAAATAAATGCAGATGTCACATAATGTATTAAGACTGTATACGATAAATTACGTAAATATTAGTAACAAGTAAAGTTTATTCTATGATTATGAAATTACTTAACTATTTACCTAATTAATTGTTTATTATTTATGGCCACTGGTATCATATAAATAAAAATAAAATCACATATGCTTACCCATTGTTTGTACTTATGCTGATATTGTTTGTGTTTGATTACAACACCTTTATTTCTAACATATTACAGTATAGATATCTCCCTAATCTGCGGCTGTAGATATTTTACAACCATCCAAGAGGTAGGAAAAAGAGATATGAAAAGTTAAATATATTCGTTCTGCATTCTTAATCGTCGATCTAAACGACTTTCACCAGAAAAATCGTACTTACAAATATTATTTGCATATTTACACATTACTTAAAATTTCATATTATGTTTATATACATTTACATATTTATAAAATATTCATATACATTAACAAATTCATATAAATATTATTTACATTTATATTTTTATATGATATTTTTATACATTTACATATCTCTTATAATATTTTTATACACTTACATATCTAATTAATATTTATATACATTTACATACTAATATATTTACTTTCTTGTAACTTGTCAATAAATTTGATATTTAATGCACAATATGCTTATTGTTTATATCTACACTGTAGAAGACGCCCTTTTATGACTTTAAATGTTGATAGAACGTTCAACAAAACAAAAGTAACACAGTAGAAGTTACACACAGACAACATGTGAATGACTCATGTTTTACGATTGCTGTAGTATCGTAGTCTGCCTGCTGTATGGACAGCGTTGAAGATATCCACGGTATGGAAGACTTATGCTGTCATATGTTACTTGTAAATCTCCGTATCTTATCACTTGCTCCTTTATGCCTACCCCATACAACTCTTTCAATATCATTCTAAATATAAGATTAAAGCAGACGGCCTTACGGCATTAGTCTTGTTTCTATCGCTTTCCTGGTGGGTATCCAAGACTTTTCATTTTTACAAAAATCCTCTTTAGATAACAAATCACACAAAAAGCCACATTCGTCCAGGGCGAAGTGTGATATTTCACAAATCTATCAAAAATACAGCAAAAAATCTGGAATTGTGCTTATATTTCCATTACTGTTATATTCCAGCCTCGAGTTAATATAGTAAAAAGCATTGTTAGCTTACTAAATCATTTGCTATAATTTTCAAGCTTGAATTTATTTCTAAGATGCTAAAAGTTCAAATGGTATCAAAGGACTTCTATGGCTTTTCTGTATTTGGTAGAGTGTCTTTGTTCATAAATTTCCCCCTAAATTTCTATGTACATTGAGCTAACTATGCAGTTTTTTATATGGCGTGTTTTTCTTCTTTAAGTATTATCATTTCTTTTGATATTAAAAGCCTGGTTAGCTTAACCATATTTCTTTTTAAAAAGATAATTATTTACATTTTATGTTATATTATTAATGCTACTGTACTATTTGTGTAACCGTTATTTATATTTACGTTTTTACACATGCATGAAATAAACTTTGTCTTTAAATGACAGGCGATTAAACGTGTTTAAAACAAAATCAAAATCTCCAATTTTGTCCTATATCTGATGTTAGTTCAGTCCTGTGTATTTTAGTTATCTATTAATATGTCCAAATGACTTGTTTGTCTATCATCGTATGGTTAATAAACAACATGCGTGCAAGATTAGAATGTCAAAACTGTATGCAACAGTTGTAAAGAAATTTGCTAGGCACTGTGAGACATATGTCTGTTTATTGTGCACAGGCGCTTGTGAATCAAGAAATAATTTCAGTTATTACTGTTTAATAGCGTTATACAAGTATTCATGTCTAGTACTAAAATGTAAAAATTGTTAAAGTTATTGAGCAAATTGCAAATAGATAAGTCGTTTAAGAAAGAAAAAAAAATATTTTGTGAATAAATAACTTTTAGCTGTTTCTTATAATTTGTACAAATGCCTCATTGAAATAACACAGGGCGTCGTTGTCTGGTTCCCAAATGCCAATGCTATTTTATCTGGCCTTACAAATATTGAGAACGATGCTCAGACCAGTTTTAGCCTGCGATAACAGAGTCGTTACAATCTTTATGAAATCTACTGGCTACAGATTATCCTAGAGTTGGGATGAAGTAGCATTTCTTAGACTAGCAGATCCAAGTTCTCAGATAAAGCTAAACATTCCGGAATTAAGTGGATAGGTTAAACGGATGAAGTTTACACTTGTCAGGAGCAAGTGAGAGAAAATAACCAGGACTCTGGTATTAAAAGTATTATTAGCTTTACAAGTTTCTCAACGTTCATTTTCAAGTATTATTACGACCTGAAATGTACTTTGTTCTAAAAGAAATGTGAACAAAACAATAAAGACAACAGATTTTAGTTACATGACTTAATTGTAAGAAAATTTGAAAAAAGAAAATTAATACAGATAATTGAATAAAGACTCGATAGGCTGATGAAGCTGTGTACGAATGGTCCCGGAAGTACAAATGTATCTTTTACTTAGCAACGATAATCCTCTTAGTAGCGATCATATATGTTACTTTAT